CACGACGGCAGTAGTTTAATAAAAAATACTTCGCCCATCGGCATAAGCAACAAAATGAAAAAAGAAGAATTACCTGTAAAGAGGAGAATCGCGGCAACAATGAAGGCGAACTGTTTCATGTTTGCGAATGCTTGTTTGGAAAATAAAGCTAGAAACCAAAGAAGCAACAATGCCCTGGCTTGCCCAAGCAAGCGGAATCAAAGAAACGACACCTCGGCAAGTCTATAATGTACTGTCAAAGAAACTCGGACGAGTCTGGCGCTCATTAGCTATATTGTGGCCACTTTTGATAGGCGCTAGGGAAAGGAATTCCGAGGGACGGTCGACACGACGAGCAATGTAGCCAATCGGCGAAGCCCACGCAGCGAACGTGGACCAATGGAAGCCTCGCCGGTGGCAAATCTTATACAAATGTCCGACGACCATTGGACTCGGCGGCTCTCCTGCAGGGGCTTCGAGAATCTTCGACGGTGCGTCCGGAGTTCTCCGCCAATTCCTTGCCCGATATTGCCTTATTTACTCTTCTATTTCATTCGAAAGCCTCTGTAAATTGCCATCCCTCTCCCCCACCCCCCTCCCTAGCCACGAGTAAATAACAGTCCCACCCGCTCGCCATCCTATTGCATTCTGCTTAAATGCACCTTCAATTATTATCGTCATTGTATTTTGCATTCTATTATTGCATTAATCATCATTGGCGAGTGTGAATAATCAATTTAAATTATAGTGAGAATCGAATCGACCTATCGTCCTACCATCTGTTATACGAGATCGCACGTCCACGTACTACTAACCGTCGATAAAAACATTCTCTTTTCTTTGACATACGCTGACAACGTATTGTTAAACAATTTATTATTTGTAATTGGATTTTTTTTTTTTTTTTTTTTTTCATATGACCTCATTTTCGCTTTTCATTCGCAAAATTTTATTGATATTTTATGCTTTCGACCCAATTAAACTTATGAAATCTATTGGATTTATATTTTTTATATATATCTATATGAGCGCTCGGATGATGCAATATTTGATGTTTTTTCTTCTTTTTTTTTATTGCAATTTTAATACAAGAATCGAGATGTACAAGAATGGAGTACATTTAAAATGCGCTTGTATAGGCAACAAACCAATTTGTTGTTTTTTTAATAACGATTAAAACGAATTTTTGCCTTAAGTTTATGAGATGAGTAATAATTACATTAACCGCAACATATGCGATGATGCCCATAATAAAATATATAAACAAAAAAAAAAATCAAAGTTTTTATCTCAAAATTTTCCCTAATCCGATATAATCGTAGGGAATAAATTAATTTTTCTAATCATTAATTGCAATACGTTTTTATAGTGCTCGGTTATCCATTGCTTTTATCGATAGGTAGCTTAATAGCGACAATTTTATAAATATGCCTTTATCGTGAAATAATAATATTAAATGCAAAAGAATGCGTCGGAAATAAGGGCAACGAAATAAATATCATAAATTTTGAGCATTCGACATCTACTTTACAAATGTTTACATTTGTGATAATGAGCAAGATGATATTGCATTGCTTTTTTTCTCTTTTTTTTTTTTTTTTTTTTTTTTTTTCTTTTTTTTGCCTCTTTTGCCTCTGCATAAATGTTACCCTTACTTTTTTTTTTGTTACAAATAAAACGAATAAATAAACAAAGAAATATAAAACTATTTCATATAAAATTATTCTTCTTTTATTGAAATACTTGAGCAATGGCATATTCTGAATTCCTAGTCTGTAAAACGATTGATTTATCAATTCATATAATAATTATTCGAAACTTATTTAACATTAGTAGTAAAATAATAATATTATTCTTGTCAATGCTATTCAATGATTGTTATATTTATCAAGCACATATTTAATTATCTATAAACCTAATAATCCTAATTATTAATATGTTTAAATGCATTTAATTTACCGAATCTACATGTGAAATTGTTAAAATTTATACGATAAATCTAATTCTTATATATTTTAAGTACTATTCACAGAATATGTATTTGTTCGTTTCCTAATAATATATAAAATATTAATGAGACAAAATAAGAAATTGTTTTATATCGTATCATATTGTCAACATTGCAATGTCAACATTGCACAACATTACATTTATACATATATGTTTCTTAGATTATTCAATTAATTTAGGATTTTTTTTTATAAAAAAAAAAAAAAAAAAAAAAACATAAATAATATGCACATGTAATTTTCCAAATTTTTAGGAACAATTCTTAAATACAATGTCCTTGCTAATAGAAATAAACAAATAACGCATTAAATATCTATATTTTTTAAATTTAAAAGAAATTTTGATTTCGATCTAATCTCTAATGTAACAATTTAATATTTATTTAAAATATATGGGTTCTATGTACTATATAATTTATTTTAACTGTGTATAGATTAGGATGACTGTAAAATATTGAGCTTATCCTTATAAAAACTTATAAAGTCAGTACAGTTATATATATATATATATATATATATATCAGATCCCTTTATAATTTGTACAAAAAAAAAAAAAGTCTTTTTCAGAAAGTAATTTATAATTGGTAAATACGATACATTGTCAAGTCAAACACGTGTGTGGTGTAATCATTTAACCTAGGCAGTAATTTAGCAAGAATAATAAAATGAATTAGATGCGACATCAGGAATTTTGCTTCTGTCCAGCATTTTTTCCCCTGAATATAATTTTTATTATGATATATTCCTCTGATATATTCAATGCCGTTCTGTTTTAATGCTTATCATTTAATAATTTTACATTTACGAATGGAATATTAAATTAGCTGATAAATAAAGCAAATAATTTGACACGTCCTTATAGAATAATTTCAATGGACATGTAGTGGAAATTTAAAAAATCTAGAACATATTTTTAATAGAAAATTTTATTTCAAAAGTGTTTTCACTTTTTTCAATCTGTTGTATTTTTTCATACAATTCACGCATGTTTTCGTATATTTCTTGAATTTTGTCATTAATTTTTCTATAAATGCAATGTAAATGAATCGATACCACTGCAAATGGATTCAAATGG